CTAGGAATCCCTCGTCTCCTCTCTTCTTTTGTTCGTTGTTACTATTGTCACTTTGTTCGTTGCACTAGAGTCGAGTTTCCAAGTTTCGCAGTCGGTGTGCCAAATCGAGGTTCGAACACTTAAAAGCAAGTAGTCTAACGCTACTCACAGCGACACAGTGGGGTTCCAAAGAACCGCTGAGTCGGATTATAAAGGACGCTAGGCTAAAAGAATCTCACCTCATCCTTTCGAATTATTGTATGTATTGTATGATTGTATATGAACATTAAAGTTTGTAAAACGTTATCAGGTTCAGTTGTAAAACGAAAAACGATAAACTTTAACGTTTGTAAAACGATATCGAGCTAAGAACTACGCAATCTACAGTTCAATTTAGATCGTGCAAATTTCTTTCCTTTTTTTATTTCACGATCTAAACTGAACTGTAGGGACAATTAGTTGATAAGTAAAATGTTAGACCCTCCAGCGGGGCACCATGGGACGACGAGGGATCTCGCAGGGACATCGTTGGATGCGAGCTTTCAGTTGCGTGCGTTTAGTTTTAGTTAATCATAAGATAGTTAGTATCTGTAAATTCACTGTGAACGCATTCTGTACAAAGACACGTTTATTTAACTTGGAACGAAATTAGGAATCTCTCCTCTCCTCTCTTTCGTTCGTTGTTACTATTATTACTTTGTTCATTGCACTAAAATAGAATTTCCAACTTTCGTTGTCAGTGTGTCAAATCTGCAGCTGAGAAACTGCAGCCTCGTCCGAAAGAATGATGTGAGGTTCTTGTAGCCTAGTGTCCTTTGTAATCTTGTAGTGTAGCGTCATATGATAACACTGTAATAGATCTTAAAAATCACATTGCTGACGTACTAGTTCCCCAACTCACCGCTGTTTAAACGTAGAGTGCGCTAAAAAAACATTGATTTTTTTTAGTATGTCGGTATTTCAGATCACGAACCACAAAAGTCCATAAGATGCAATGTCTATTCATATACGTCTGTGACAAGATATATGAATGTGCACGCTTTATTTTTAACTGTTTCGAAACATTAAACGCTGGGTGATATTCCTGCGTAGCGCTCGTTATTTATTTTAGTTTTCGTCTTTCATTCTCTTTTTTCTATTTTTTCCATCGCCGTCGTTTGTTTCATTTCCTATTCCGTAGATTTCGATCTCTCACTTTTGAAATGATTTTAATAATTTGAGAATTTTGAAATAATGTAAGTTCACAAAGTTAAGAATTGCGAAACGATCAGTTATAAATGAAAGCATAAATGAAAATTTATAATCGTACGATTGAACGCCATATTCATCAAAAATTTTCATTTGATCATTAACATTACGATGGATAAAAAATTAACAATATAATGTCAACAGGGATTTTCCTGGTTTTCTAAGCTGTCTGATAACAGCATTTTACAACTTTAAATTCTGATCACAGAAACATACGATTTCTGATTTACGTCACAGATTATCGAGATTGAATAATGTCAGATAAACGTAAAATTTATTCCGATATTTATTGACTTTTTGTTGATATGATAATTATCATAAATTGTCCAACTTGTTACATTACGTAAAATACTGTAAATAATGTACATCTAAGCATCGATATCTAAAAGTGAAAAGACATTTGAATAAAATGTTACAGGAATTTTTCTTTTGTACAATTTACATTCAATATACAAACGATTATATTCCGTAAGTCTTCGAAGAAAATCGATTTTTTTAAATGACGCATTTCCTAAAAGTTGTATCAAAGTTATTTAACTCTTGCAATTTAAACAGATAATAAAAACAACGAATCACATAAAGATAATTCTGATATTCACGTAATCTAATAACTACACTACGAAGTACCTTAGAAATTCATAATATATTCTTAACATTCTAACATCTAACCATAACTTTTTAAAATTTATTACGTTATAATTTACTGTTTCTGTTCAAGTGTTGACATATGTATTAATAAATTAACTCTGATAAAAAAAGATGTATAATATTTTTAATGATTTTGTACAAAGATCAAGTTTTTCGGTCAGGAATGTGTGTACAGTAATACCAAACAGTCTGATATTATGTCCTATAATTTTTCTATAATCAATTTCTCTCTTATTTGTTTTCTTTCAGCAATTCTTTCATCACTTCTTGTATTATTGATAAATATTGTGCAGTCTTAACAATTCCTTTATAATTTATGCAAAAAATATACCATTAAATATTATAACGTACGAAATAAATTACATACTTGTACGTAAATAAAATAAAAAAATGATGCCATGTATAAACGATATATAAATTAAATCTCACAGTTTACAAACACCATCATTCAAAATCACATATTTTGTTTAAGTGCAATAATTAAATTAAAGTAAAAAGTAACATGCAAGACATAACTGCAAGATCTTCAATTTTCTTCTTTTTTTCTTTTTTATCTTTCTTTCTATTCTGTGCGCAGTTACAACGTTGTACTTTATCACAAAAGTTTAAGACGTATATAAAAATGATATTAAATTTTCCGCTAGTACAAAATATGTTTAGATTAAGAATTATTTTTAAAAGTCTATGTTGTAATTTGCAATTGATTCAATTCGCTGTTCAATAACCCATTACTTGTCTTCGCATTCTTCACCGGAGACAACGATAACGATTTATTGTGGTCCAACCCTAAGGTCATCTTAAGTAATTTTAATACACTCTTCTTATCCGTGCTTTCATTCTCTATAAATAGAGATTCCGTGTTATGCTACATTATAAAGAAGATCAAATTTATAGCACTTACCCTCTTCACCAGTAATCTGCTGTTCAAGATGTAATTTATCTTGAGCTATTTCGTACATGCCTTCTTCTATAGTATCTCCGCTTAATAATCTAATTATACTAACTGATCTAAAAGATTTGAATATTTATATATTTTAAAATGTTTTTTTAATGTTATAATGTTATAATATTTTTCTATATTATTGTGTAAGATGTAAACTAATGATTTAAAGCATACCTTTTCTGGCCTACTCTGTGACAACGATCTTCTGCTTGCTTATCATTATAAGGATTAAAATCAATATCGTGAATTATAACAGTATCGGCAGCAGTTAAATTGATCCCCAAGCCTCCAGCTTTTGTAGATAATAAAAATATGAATATGCTTTCATCCTCCATATACTGATTTATCAAAAACTGTCTGTCTGTCACTGGGGTACTTCCATCTAATCTGTTTCCACATTCAAGGTTAAAAATAATGAAAAATATAGAAAGATGAAAACTACAAATACACAAACCTTAAGTACGTTCGTCCTCTAATCGTTAAATATTCTTCTAAAATGTCTAGTATCATGGTGAATTGACTGAAAATTAATACTCGATGCCCATCTTCCTTCAGCTTTGGTAACAATTCGTCCAATATCTTTAACTTTCCAGCTTCTGCAATGAGTTCCTGAGGTAAGCCCAGTCCAGCTAAGCTCTTGTATGTTCTTGTCAATTGATTTATCTGATAATCTGACATCCATTGTAAATCTTCAAACACATAATCTGGATTTTTCTGCTTGTACGAATGTTCTTTTGCCAGTCTGCTCGATATTACCTAACATGAAATAGTCAAATCGTATACTGTAAATTCATTCGTAATAAATGTAAGAATTGAAACTGCAAGTATACTTTTAACTTGGACTCGTTGTAATAATCTCGTATTAAAAGAGGATGATTGGCCAATTTTCTTAACTGCATCATCATTCCAATACCATTAACTTCGGTGCTTTGATCAGCCTCAGCTGAAAATTCGGCAACTAGATTAGTGTACATCTTCTGCTGTTTTTCTATCATTGGACATTTAATCACGCGTTCGTTTTTTTCTGGTAAATCCCGAAGGACTTCAGTTTTTAGTCGACGCAACACAAACGGCCTCATGATTTGCTTCGCATTTTTCACTTGTTCTTGTTCAAACAATGGCTGTTCGCTATTTTTCTTTACTGATGGTGTCTTCTACATTATAATACACATTGTTGTATAATATATAATTTTCGTTAAGAATGTACCTTGCTGTATATAGTACTTACATGATTCTTTGAAAATAAACTTTTTAAATCTGCTTGTTTGCCAGCAAACAGTGAAGGCATCACAAATATCAAGAGCGACATTAATTCCAATAAATTATTTTGCAAGGGAGTACCCGTTAACAAAATTCGATGCTTAGCCTACGAAATAATTATATTTATTATTAAACATAATTTAATTCATTTAGAATAACATACACAATACGATAAGAGGATACACACATTAATTCTAACGAGATTCTCGTATCTGATAGTACCCATATTTTTCAACATATGAGCTTCATCGAAAACAACATAATGAATAGGCATAACACGAAACAATCTTCGTTCTTCTGGTGTACTGCTAATTAAATTATAGGTGGTTAATAATACGTCAACATCATCCAAATCACCATTACGCCAACCAAATCTCATCTCTTTCCGTTCTTCCTGAGTGCCATAATATTGTACAACCTTCAAGCCAGGTGACCACCTTTCCAATTCATTGTTCCAATTTTCTACATAAATAAGAAAAGAGAAAATTAAGAATAGATGATACAAATCACAAGGATCTACAATAATTTATCTACCCATCGTCGAACTAGGAACGACGATTAAATGTGGTCCATCTTTCTCATCTCTAAGGCCAGCCTCTTTCAAATATGTAAGAAAAGCTATTATTTGAACCGTTTTTCCTAAACCCATTTCATCCGCGAGTATACCGTTAACATTTTGCGTATGCATCACAGCAAGCCAATTTAATCCAACCATTTGGTATGGAGCTAACTTTAAGTTTGAGGACAATGCCTTGGGTTGACTTGTGATAGCCGATGCTCTTGCAGCCACGGCCTTTTCAATATTTGTCGACAAACGGAGACATTTCTTCATGAGAGCTCCCACTGCATGTCTAGTAGCCAATAATTCCTATTTTATCGCAATAAAGGAAAGCATGCCAATTAACATACTGATTATCTTAATAATATTATAAATAGCAATTAAAAATTTTGCAATTTCTCAAGCTGATTACCTGAGCTGAGTTCAAAAGCTCTGTATCTAGATATTTGTTGTTTTGGAATTTTTGTACTAAGTCTCTCCAATCTTCAAATGGCCTTGCTTCTTTGATAGCATTTGCTTTCTTCTGAGAACACTGAGACATCAATAGTAACTCTGATGTAAGGGCATTCTGCATAAATTCTAAAACTGCTTTCTTATCAGCCGTAAGCTCATTAGATATTTCTATATCTGAATCTTCATCGCTGTAGACATTAATAGAGAAAAAATGTTAAAAATTAATAGAATACACTTGATTTCTACGTGCATACCTATCAAACACTTTGTCTTTGAAGCTTGCTTCGTCTGAATCAATATCTACATCTTCTTCAGTATTTAATTTTCGTTTTTTTTTCTTGTTGGTTCTAGAAGAGCCTTTAATAGTCCTTTTCCTGCTATTTCTAGTATCTTCCTCATCACTGTTCCAGCTCATGTTACTGGATAATTCCTGCATAATAATGAGAAATTAAACTCTTGTTCAGCGCAAGATTGTTTGCTTCTACAGTAAAAATGCATATCCATATACACAAGACAAAGTATACTGTTATTATATTGTCAATGTATCGCAAAAGATATATGTACCTTATCTGCATGATCCAAGCTACTAGGTTTTTTAACAGGATTGCTTGCATCACTGTCGCTGTCTTCAATTACATTGAAAGCCTTACGCCGAAATTGTATCTCAGATCCCATCAAATTACTGTCATCGTCCGCTGAATAAAAAACACTCTGATTACTCACTTGCAATTGCAAAACAAGCATCAACAGCACTGTCATTATTAAGCAACACGAGCGAGGCGCGTTTTTCAGATTTTTTCACCTTTACACTTAAACAAAATTCCGATTAATTAAAAGATATATATAGCAACTATAGAGTACGTAAGAAATTACTCTTAAACAGTGCAACAACAAAAGATGGACACCGGCTGTTATTGACCCAGAAATTAAGATTCAAGAATAAACAGATTCTTACACATGTTCAGTGGTTTCAGTTGTTTCTTCTGGAATCGAAATTTTCGTAAGTTTCCCGAGAGGCTTAGGCTACTCGCATCTGTTCTCGACGAATTCGAATCCGACATCTCGTTAAACGAATGAGAGACGCTGGCGAGAACACATTTTTGTAAAGGCAGCTTTTAAACTTGTTTAGCAGGTGCATTCGTAAAAGTTCCGAGCTAAGAATGAGAAACGGGTGTCCAACAGGTTAACATAATCGCCTATTTACCTGCAATTCTATCTATCTTGCGTCTGAATTACTTTTAACGAGTTCAAACAATTTCCTTTAGGCTTCCCCTATTGTCTGTTATTCTTCCGGAATCAGACGCGGTAAGAGAATGTTACTAAAAATTGTAAAAAACGTAATCCATAAATGAGGATACTGCAGGATAATGAAATTAATAAAATTAATTTCGATCAAGCATCAATGTGATCAATCACACGATAATTCTCTACAAAATGTGATATGCATGTAATTAGAATGAAAGAATTTTATCACAGATTCTACACCACACGATGAGACCTTGTTCAAAATTATATCTAGGTTCTTACTTCTCTTCGAGTAGTGTGATAAAGTAAGAAATCAACATACTTCATTACACTCTGTATATTTTAAAAAGAATGTAACTCACGAGAAAATTTGAATTAAAAAAAGATTATTCAAATTGATCGTGTGTGATCGATCGTTCAATATTTTTCCGCGAAATTAAGAATTCAGCTTCTCCCGCTGGAATTACGTAACACGAATAAGTTCGATAAGCGGAATTAAAATCAATTTTATAATTACGCCAGAAATTCTCTGCCTTACGAGATATTTCTCTTTATTGATGAAAGAGGAGAACTTATCCAACGAATTGAAGTTACATTTAGTGTCTTTTTTTCTCGTTAAATGACAAAGTAAAGTGAGAAAAGAATTTGACAATATATATATATATGTACTTTATCTGCAGATACGTGTAATTAAAAAAAAAGAAGATATAACCAACACGAAAATATTTCGTACGATTTCACACATCCAAGGGATTTTATAATTATAACGTGTACAATTGTGTCAAATATATGACAGTGACTGTTATGCAGCACGTTGCTCGGATGGAACTCGTTGAAGTTTGACTGCTGTCGCTTAAAATGTTTATTTATGTTAATCGAAGCTCATTCAAACAATAACGACATGCTTCGGCATATTACACGGATGAAAAACAATAAACGAGTGTAAAATGTTGTTATTCACGTTAGTAGGAGGTTATATATTAACGTCAATGATATTTTTTAAATATCCAACGTTGTTACATAAAAAGAAACAAGTGAAATTTATGTGCCAGCATATTAGTCACAGAGGGGGTATGTTTTAAAATTTTCTGTGATTCATTAATTAATAGCATACACAAAAAGCATATATATTTGTTAATAAAAAATTTCTTTTTACAGGGGCAGGCGAAGGCTATGAAAACACAATGTACGCTTTTAAACGGTTAGTCGAAATCTTTAAAATTGCAACATAAAGAACTAATAAGAATAATTATTCAAAGAAAACATTTAAATAATCTGATAAAATAAGATAGTAATGTATATTGATATGTATATATTTTATAGTTTATGTTATATATGTTTATTTTATTTATTTAATTATGCGAAACATTTTGAATTACAATACTAACAAAATAATTTCAAGAAGCGTTACATAACATACGCAATACATTCATAAATGTATTTTCCTACAGTGATATTTTCATGAGCCACTGTATGGAATATTTTATGAAAATGTGTTTTTGTTTATTTCAGAGCTGTGGCAGTTGGTACAGAAATGTTGGAATTGGACTGTCATTTGACAAAAGATGGAGAAGTAATTGTATCACATGATCATAATCTTTTGCGTAGCACAGGCACAAATAAAAGTATTTCAGAAGTGAATTACAAAGATCTACCTCTACTAAAACCACGTCTTCCAATAGATTTTGATCCAGGTATATTTAAGTAATTCTTTTTTTAAAGAAACTGTATTTTTGAATAAAATGATTTAAAAACTATAGTTTAACAGATGTAGAATATATTGGCACAGAGAAGGAGGAAGATAGAAGATTTGCTTTACTGAAAGAAGTATTTGAAGCATTCCCTAATATACCAGTTAATATTGATATTAAGGTCAATGATGATGAACTTATAACCAAAGTATCTGAATTAATAAAGGGATATAATCGTGAAGAGTACACTGTATGGGGAAATTTTAGTGATGAAATAACACGAAAATGTTATAGAACGGTAACTAATTTATATATTACTATGGAGTAATAAATGTACTAAAATACGACGATATTAATCTCAATAATTTTTTTATAGAATCCTAATGTAAATTTGTTATTTTCTATGAGACGTGTAATTCTGTTGATAGTTTTCTTATACACTGGTTTATTACCATTTGTACCTCTAAAGGAAACACATTTAGAAATATTTCTACCTTCCATTTATTTAAGGTACGTCAAACATTTTATTTAGTGTTGAAATTAATCAAATTACTTAACATTGAATTGTTACAGACGCAAAGGCAGTCCAAGTTCAACATTTTTACCTTTGGAAAAAGTAATTGTAAGGACTATTAATGTATTGTTAATGAGAAGATGCTTATTTAATCATTTAAGAGCTCGTGGAATACATGTAAGTTGATCGTCTCGTAATTCTGTAAATATAATTTAGAATAAAACAATACTTTCAGTGATAAGAATATGTTAAGATATTAAAATATATTAGTACAGAAATGTTCGTTACGTACTTTTATAGGTCTATTTTTGGGTCTTAAACGAAGAGGAAGAATTTAAAAAAGCTTTTGATCTTGGAGCTACAGGTGTAATGACAGATTACCCTACAAGATTAAAATTATTTTTAAATAATTGTCCTGCTGAATAAGAGGCTACATACAGAGATTGAAAGCGATGTTAATACATGTTAAGTACACGAAATATTTATTAATTTACTTCCGAGAAGTATATACATTGTTAGAATTTGTAAAGCTCTTATGAGATAGCCAAATACTTACAAATTATAAAAAAAATCGTTTTATTGCTTGTCGCACACTAATGGAAACCAAATGGGAAAAGAATAGCTTCTTTCAAATAATTACATATAACATATAAATTATAGCCAAAATAAGTTTCAAGAAAATGCGTATTAGCTTATTAAAAGGTCATTTTTATTATAGCATCTAGTCAAAATAAACATAAAATATAATAAAATGATTACAGACATTTTCAAAAATGTGTGGATAATGACACTTCTTGAAAAAGCATTCCAAAAACATTTTCTGTAGTCAAATGTACTAGATATTTCGACTATGTTCGAGATGGGAAGTTCACAAAGTTCGATAATCTAGTTTAAAAAAGTATTTTATAAAATCGTTATCGATATAAATTTTCATATACTGAAAATTGATATGCAGAACATGTTTGATTATTGCACGAACTATGTTAAACGTTATTTATTATATGGTTGTATTATTATTAGAGATATACAAGAACCCGAAAATATAAGGTTCCCAAAAGTATCTTGTAATTCAAAATTGTCGAAATTTCGAATAATGAGATACTTTTGGGACTCCTGGTTCCCATTTTGACTTCTCGCATCTCTAATTGTTACACTGTTTTGTATGTACTAGAATACGTATTGTAATTCAAACTATAATCCAAAGTCATTAATATTAAGATCGTAAGTATTATTAATAATACCGCACACATAAAGCTTAATTATTTATATGAAATTTATCGCAACATATCTTTGAATATAAAGATCAAACTCGTATATAGCTTGCATATTCTATGTGGAATGGTAAAGAATTATTCTTTTAATTCCTTCACGTATTTATATTTATTAAAAAGTTGATACAAAATTTCAAGAAAATATATTTATACATATGTGTACACATAAATAATATATATAAATATATGCATTACGAGTACATTAATGGAATATCACGTTCAGCGTAATTGGCAATGCTAGGCACAATTGTAAAACGTAAAAGGAACCGTATTCAACATATGACGCAACTGGTTATATATATTTTATATTATATTAATTTACTATATAATTAAATTTCATGTTCCTTTCTCAGTATTTACTATATAGCTACTTAAATTAAATATTCCTTTTTGTCAGTATTGCAAACAGTCGCCTGTCAGAGAGATTTCTATCGATTAATTAAATAATTTTATTACAAATATCTTAGAAACTGTCTTAATGCAACGTGTACAAAGAGTAAGTTCGCATTACATATAAATACGTGTACTTTTATACTTGGAATAAATCGTAACAATATTTGTAAGCTCAAATTTTGTTGCAATTTTCATATATAAAATGATGAAAATGCCATGTTTTTTTATTGATAATTATACCATATATTTTTGCATTTGTCATTGTAAAACTCCTTTTGTAATTTCAAATATTTTCCTGTGCTTGCATATTACTTGTTATTGCACAAATTGTATGTAGCATAATTTTATGAGATATATATTTTATTTAAATATATTAATATCTTTAAAGAGATTCTCTTGTACTTTCTTCTTCCTTTGTAGTGCTGCTACATTTATGATAAACAATGTACTTTGGTTTTTCCATGCAATCATCATTAGACATCGTATAAGTGAATACTTTGCCTTTACAGTAACAACAAAATTCTTTCGAAGGATGAGAACTATTGAAATGATTTTCTATGGCAGAATGATTTCCAATAATATTTATATTGCAAGTATCACAATATACACCTGAGGAACGAAACCTTGAATGCACTGAATCAGTAACAGCTCGATCTGAACATTTATGATTTGAATTTGATTGAGTATTGTGCGAGGACATTTTACTTCTGTAATACATACATGTACAATAAATCATTATTATAACAGATAATATTATATTTGTAACATAATTTTCACTTTGAAACAATTGTATTGAATTTATACATAAATTTATAAATATATTTATTGTTTGCAATAAAATTGCTGGAATATATCAAATAAAATTAAAAATGTAAAAAAATTCAATATTTTATTCTAATAACATTACAAAATTTAAAAAAGAAAATAGATGGAATAACAAAACTTCATCATCAGTTAAAATAGCGTTTAAACAAATATTCTAATGATTAAAAATATGTATATTTCTAATATTTAGATTAAAAAATTATAACCTAAAAGTCACGTACTTACATGACAATCCCTCTTACTAATTATAGTAATCAGTCTTCGATGATTAAAATCCTTATTTCATAATGCTAAACACAATGAGGCATCTGCATTATTTATAATTACTTCTTATCTTTTTATCAATACTTTATTCATTATAATATAACGTAGATACATTGTTCCAATTTTTTCATCCACACATCATGTACAAATAAGTGTAGTAAAACTATGATTAATAAACCAAGGTTATAATTCAAATGGATTGTTTTATTTCACATTATTGTTTCATTTACTATAATATACATTATATTCTAGGGTTTTTACATTACATTCATGGACAAATAACTGTAATAAAATTATGACTAATAAATCAAATTATGATTTAAATTGATTGTTTTCTTTCACATTATTGTTTCATTTATTGTAATACAACATATGTTAGATTCAGTTTTTTTCATTCATGAACAAATAAGTATAATAGAGCTATGACAATATAAGTATAATAGAACTGTGACAAATTATAATTCAAATTGTTTTCTTTTGCTTATTATTATGTTTTTATCTCAATACAAAAGTAAACTTTTATTTATTTTGTTTGATGAATTTTAATATTATAAATTATGCAAAATTAATTAAAAATTATTATACATTCTTATTCCTGAAGTAATTAAGGTTACTTAAACTTGTAATATGTATAATAAATTATACACTTTAATTACTTCAGGAATAAAGATATATATAATTTTTAATGAATTTTGCATAATTCGTTATAATATTAAAATTCATTAAATAAAATAAATAAAATTTAAGTAATTTTTAATTATACATATATTTATATAGGCTTTATCTTGAAATGTAGTCCAATAAGGGAAAATACCAAGCACTTCAAGTCTTGTACAAGATAATAGAAGCATCTTAACCCTTCTGGATCTCGTGACTGATTTACATCCAATAAAGAACCAGTCTTTGACGTTGTAAATGAGATATGTTCATCGCCAATTACGATCTCCAATTCTTGGCGTCCAACGCGATCTGGTTGTGGCCACAAAGAATCGTCCTCCTGCATAATTTCAGAATCTTGAATGATCCTCTTCAGCTCCTCCATCACACACTGATGTACATACGCCTCTTTCCGAATCATCGTGTCATTCTTATAATTTGAATTATTTGCGTATCGTAATTTACCATCCGGCCTGAATTCAAACTCTAGAAATTCGTGACCGAATTTTCCCTTGTGCCCTACATAATATCGTATATAAAAATCCGTCGACATCCTGTGGCAATGATCTTTCAATGTTGAATCTAAAAGTAAAAAATTCATTTTGCTTATGTTCGAAAATCGTATATATTAAAGAGGTTATTTCACGTACCTTAAGATTCTCCTCCTCGTATTAATTGATATTATTAGTTTCTATTATGGAGAAATATATAAAATCGGCGCAGTTTTGTGACGATTTTAATTAATAAGTTTATAGCGAATATGCCAAACGTTGAAACAAATTACTTATTCAGTAGTATAAATACACCATCAAGCAAAAGACGCGCTAAATCTCATTTATATCATCCATGGTTGAACCTTAAGGCGATCTACATGTAATTGCAATGTTACGCATAAAACGAGATGATCCTATTTTTATATCCATTATAACTTACATTTGAATTTAATTATTATTCGATAATTGAATGATACATTATATTTGTTAGTTCTTTTAATTCACTCTGGACTCTTTTGTCTGATAATAAATTCATCAGAAGGAAATTCGAAAGGAATTTGAAAGGCCTAGAGAAGCTGTCAACTAAATCAGCGAAAGATTAACAATAAAATCATATATTATTTTTGTGAAAAATATTTCGAAATTTGCTATTATATGTCTCGTGTTCAATAGATATTTAAAGTTAAGATCATTGCGTATATCGCTAGTGTGAATCATCTTAAATCGAAATCGTCGAAATTTGAATAAACTCCATCACATTTGTCGCGGATCTATCTTCGCAACAGGACGTCCAGTGGTCGTCCGGTGACATCTGAATTATTAATTCGTTTGCCACACAATTCTCCCTGTTTTCTCTCAAACTGATAGCTCCGATCCTGTCGGTGATAATTGAGAGGTCACGTTGCTCTTCGTATATCTTCCGCGATGAGAACGATCCACGAGAAATGCAACGCAAGTGACACGCGGAAATATCTCGAGTAAATCGTGCGAATCAAGTGAAATGTTTACAGCGTTAACTTTGATGTATGTACCAGGGTAGTAAGCTGAAGGATGAAATTATATTGCTCGACGAGTTCACGTAATTTAGGCTCGTCATAGCGAAAACCCTCACTCAGTTTATCAATAATGAACAAAACTCACATGGATAAAAGACTGAATCAATTGCCAACTTGGTTGTGGACTAGTTCCACCACATTACCACCGATCTACAAGATGGTATGGGAAGCAGTGAGAGAAGACGAAGTTAGGACAAATGGAATGCAGACCGAGCTACTGGTTGACACCAACAAGGTCTTTCCCTTATTGCTCACTAGCCAGTTGCCTACAGAGGTTCTCGGACACATATGGAACTTGGCTAATCAAAAGTATGCGGGTCAACTCACTGAGCAAGAGCTGTATATTGTTCTTGCTCTTGTTGCTGCGGCACAGGCTTCTTACACGTTTAACAGCTTAGACATATTACATTTACTTCCATTTCCACCCACTCCGTACTTAAATATCGACTGTTTAATGAATCTACAGCCTGTAACCCAGTTAAATTCAGCAGCAAAGTTTCAAAATCTTCAGGAGAACACCGAAATTGGATTTATTGGATCTGATGGAAGATATTCCTTGGAAACTGGAAAGGGAAAAATGAAATTACATCAGCAAGGGATTATATCTTCAGACTTAAATGCGCAAATGATAAATAATGTACCTGGAAAAATTACATGTTTTGATAATAAGTCTTACGTCTCTTCTATTGGAATATGGGATACCAATAATGAGTTGAAAGATATAAATCAAACTTCCCATTCACAATTAAATTTTAAACATCCACCGGCAGCAGATTTGTGCGACGATTTTTCTGAGTTTCAAAGCGCTCCAATTTCCAACATTCCCAATATCCCAAATTGGGACATAAAGCAGGGTTCGGCTATTGGAAGCAGACTTGCAAATCATAATCTAGGTATTAAAAAACCAATGGAGAAATCTAAGAAGAATAATATAAATGCTAAATCTGCTCATGGCACTACTCATATTACTTCTATACCATTAACTATAACTCAGAGTAAAGATCAGTCAACGCTAGATTGTTTGTCAGAATTATTTCCTAAGTGTACAATAAAGAATCAATCTAAAACAGTAATTCTTAAGGATACAGTGATAAGAAATAATGATCCGCCCAAGGACCATAGTGAGAATGTGAAAGATTATACAAATACAGAAATTGTAAATGTAACTAATGACAAAGATGTGTTGAATAAATTAGAGTGGATGGATAAGGTAATTTAATTCTCTTAAATTGTATAAGTTATGACAGAAAAATTTTTTAAAATATATACATTTATTAATATTAAATTTATAATTAGGCTTCATCAACAACATTGGAACAAGATCTTATGAATCTCCAACTTGTTGAAGATAAATATAGTGCCTTGCGTGCATTGGTTCAAGAAACAGCTGTGTCAACTGAACCAGATGCAAGTGCAAGTTACAGCAGTCAATCAACTGACGAATTTGGAGAATTTGTGTCTGCAGAACAACCTGCTATAAATACTCCTGCCACAAATGCTTTAAATACCGATAGTTTTGCTGATATTTTTACAGATTTTGAGTTTAAATCTAATAATAATAATGCAAACACAGCAGATTTTAACCTCATGCCAGATATTTCTGAATCATTTGACAATCTTAAGCTTGAAGATAATGTAGAAGACCGTTCCTTAGAAATAGGTAATTAATGTTGTATATTATCTACTTCAAAATTTTTTTTTAATATATACCAGTATCATAATACTTTATTTTAAGGGAAAGCTCTTCAGAAGGAAGATGCCATATCAATTAATAGTATAGAATTCGTGAATGGTGCATCAAATGCATTAACTCGATCAGGATCTGTGCCTAGTTTAGATCTTAAGTCTTTCTTACCTTCCACTACAGAAGATGAGCAAACAATGGATACTACACATCAGGTTATTATAATCTTTGTTTTGTTGCTTATAATAAATAATGATCAATAAAAGAAACGTAAAGAATATTAAAAAGAATTTATAATTTACTTGGATTTACAGTCAGAATATTGGGAATGGAAGCAATACATGGAGAGCTGTGTATTATTATTACAAGTAGCTGCAAATATATTTACAAACATTAGTTCAGAACTTGTATTGCACGAAGTTTTAAATTCAGCACAAGGATACAATTTTCTATGCAGTGAGTATTATTGCAAGAATTAACGAATTATTTTCGTGGAATGTTTCAAAATACATAACAGGCATTGTCATCTATTTGCTTTTTAAATCAGACTTAGCGGAAGTTGCAGCTGTTTGCAGACGGGTTAATTTTTCGTACAAAGAAATGGATATCAATATAATAGGTTTTGATGAATTATTAATGGATATTGATCGAATTTGGGCAGAGATGGAACCGTTTTATGCAAACATACCAGTAAGAAATATAATATTGACATTTTATAATTTTATTATTAAATATTATACATTATTTACACTTTTCAGTTTACAAATGTATATAAATTTCTTTATAATATATTTCAGATCGTTACAGAATTACCAGCTTGGCCTTTACATCAAGGTGAAGCTATTTGTTGTTCGCTTTGTTTAACAGTTATTACTAGTGGCAGAGCAATGTATAATGAAAATAATTATCATGTTACTTGTGCTAATCTATGGCTTAATTGTGTAAACAGTAACTTGCCCGTGATGCGACATCCAATTTATTCTCATTCTAATATATGTACAGGTAATAATCACATTTGACATTAATCTACATTAGAAAGAGAGCAAAAAAAATCGCAAATTTTTAATGTACACACATTAGAAAAAGAAGAACAAAAAATTCATAAATTTTTAATGTACACACATTAACTTATTACACAAGAATTTGTAGAAAACCAGAGAAAACTAACTTTGTATTTAATTAGATTTTACTATAATAATTAGAAAATCAAACATTAACATTTTTAAAAATTTATCAAATAATATAAACATGATTTAAAAAAAGGTGTGGACTGTGTCTATGATAAGAGAAAATGGATTCCACACACAAGTTGTATATATTCCTTAAATATAAATATATTCAAGATCTTACTAACTAGTCCGTTTAAAAATCTGTACAGATACTGAAAGATTTAGAAGGAATATTAATATATCATAGTCTTTTGAAATTAGGAGAAATAAGTAAAAGTCGTATGAGCAAATTTTACAAAAATCTTAACTGTAATTAAAGAGGTTGACGGAATTATAAAGAAATTCTTGGAACCTGAACAAAAGTTCATATCAATCAAATTAATTATAATATTTTCGTGAAGATCTTATAAAATTCTTAGCGTAAATATGAAATAAATAATTAAGGATATTACTCTATTATTAATACGTTGACGCCGGCACTGCAATTCGTGTTTCTCCCCATCAGGAGTTAAATCCTACTTTATTTTAATGAATACATAAAAATTAAATTCTTCTAATTCTAATTTTCAATTTTATGGAAATTTTTTACTAAACAAATTTAATGAACTATATATTTGGTGGTACACACTGTTTGATTTGATGTGACATCCAATGGGATATTCATGTGCGAGCCATCGGTGGTACACACCAGCGTCAACGTGTTAAATAATATTGTAAAGCAACGTGGTAGTGATCTCCCAAGTTTTGAAATTATCGTTGACTCGTATCACGCGGTCTATACACTATTCCTCTGCTTTTCATCTCCCTTATAACACCTGCTGGTAAACGTCCTGATACTGATATTGCGTACACACCCTTGCAAAATCGATCTGAAAGAAAAAATATTAAATTTCAGTTATTTTATAGTAGATATTTATAATTATCAGCAAGAAATTTTATCCGTTTATTTCGTTTTAAGTTCAACAAAAAATTATAAAAATAACATGTAAAAAAATTAATGCAAAATATACATCAAGTTAAAATATATTAAAATAGAATCTTATGTACGCACATAAGCATGTTCCTTAAAAATTATACATAGTATAATATTATATACTATTAGTAAAAATTCTGTATAAATGTATAATAATATTTAATATTAAGAATCTCAAATACAGGAAAACTTATTAAATTGTAATATATAGATATATATATTGCATTGTTTTATATTAGTTGCATCTTTTGTATTGAAATATTGGCTTAAAAAACTTGTACAAAGTCTTGCCTTTCAATACATTTACATATATGATATAAAATATGATTTAGATTATTGTTATTTGCACTGCCAAAAATAATTGTTGAAGATAAAAAAAAGAAAATTAATACATTAAAAATTCAAAAGAATATTAATAATATTTAAGATGTCAAAATAATATAGAGTAAAGAATAACAGTTTATATTACAATATGATTTACTATGAGATAATGTAACTATTATAATTTTGTAAAAGTGTACAAGAATAAAATAACGATATTTCTCTTGCTTAATTTTAACTTATTGTGCATAGATACAAATTTATTACTTACTTATTCTTTGCCATTTGCAAACCCAACTGTCCTCGGGACTCATTGCAGCAATCATGCTAGAAACAGAATAATATTTATTTTAGTAATTTGGTTTCATAGCTTGATAACAAAATAATTATATTAGAATACATAAAAAAGAAAATGTCAAATTTTTATTTAAGTGACTTACCCATCAAAATTGGAACTCGTACAATCAAAAACATTATCTTTATTATTTTTCATACGTAAAAACTCATCGCAGTTGTCACAACCATCGAATTCAAATTGATCAAATGTCTGTAACAAAGTTGAATTTTGTAATAATATAAAAACATAATTTTTAAATAATGTAAAAATAGTGGTAAGAAATATAAGAAAACATACCTTAATTAAAGAGCATACTAAACATGCTCTTAATCCACGTAAATCTTTAGGTACAGTTTCCATTGACATTTTTTATATTTTTTTCTATAATTGTTTATTTCAACAAAATATATTTGTTGGATGACGTAAATAAATATGTGAGCCTTTACAAGCACCTAATACTTTACTATTATAGTATGTACTACATATGTAGTAATAATAACTTGCGGTTCACGATCACTTAGAGGTACACTCTATTCACTGACAATGAATCAAAATATGACCAAAATAAAAGGTTACTTTTACAAGTATAACCTCTTAAAACCAAGGAGCGACTTATTTAAAACTAACAACAACCTCACTGTACCACTTACTACGATACTGTTTTCTTTACGCAGCTAAGGTCAGACAAGATGGCGCCATTGGACAAAATTTACAAAATGAAAAGCTACATGAATTATTAATTTAAGATATGATAATTAATATCTGATATTTAATTAATATCTCTAAAATGAAAAATAATTAAAAATATATAAAACTAAAATAAATCTTTTCGCGTTAAAATTTTGATCTTAACAAAGCTTGTATTGAAAATTAAATCAAGTTTTCCGTGTTTTTTTAGGAAACAATTAAATGTATAAAGTAATTTTTTGGTTACGTTATCTATTTATTTACTTTTGTTTCATCTTTGATTTATAGTTTGTATTTTGACTGTAGAATAGCGCTAGCCTATAACGATAAAGTCTAATTACTTTTTACACGAGAATTGACTTGAAGTAGTTGTTATCTCTGGCGACAACTATTTAATTGCGCGCAAAATTCCAGACTAAATCGTTATAAATATTATTCAGTCTATTTAATTATTTGCTGTCATAAATATATTTAATATTCATAATAAAACTTGATGTATATGTTACTTATAATTTTCCTAGAAAAAAATCTGAACTATCATAGAAATTGCCCTTCATCCTATTATCATTGCGTTGCAAAAGTAACATTTTAAAGACCAATAACTAGTGCACTGAGCGCGGGAAAATACATTCCATATTGGAGCATTTTGTGCGCTCAAGATGAAGGTGACTTCTATCTGATTTGTATATAAGGAATACTTGTCTAAAAAACGTCATAATCCGAAATTATACGATCTTGGGCACGTATTTAATTTTCGTGTTTATTCTAAATTATTAACTGACTCACATTTCTAACGGCTGCTATCATGAAACCTGGAGGTGGCACAAAGCTTTCTACCGCCAAAACTGGTGCTGTTGAGGTTAGTAATGTATTAACGAATATTTTCAATGATCTTTGGTAAATAAATTACCACTTATACCTCATCATATTGATTTGATTCATAACAATACGAACATTTTAATTTGCTAAGCTATCATTCCATCCATTTATGTTCTTCGTTTCTTGTTTACAAAGTTTAATTATTAATTAACTGTCGTTTTAAATTTTGAGTTAATATTTCAAGTCGCAATTAATACCTCATTTATTTAAACTCGGTGGGGGATAATCAATTGAAATAATTAAATAATTAATAATTAAAGACAAATGGGGTGAAGATAAATTTACTCAAATAAATAAAGTTCCATTGTACCGCTAATTTATTTCATTTCACACATTCTTCTTTTATCCACAGTATCTTCTCTTATTTTTTTATTTTGGATTTACTTATCTATTTTATTCTTCACTTCATATTTTTTATTTGGCACATGATTTAAGCAACTGATTAAGCAAGCATAATTGCATGTAGAGGCTTTGTCATATGTCATTTTTTTTCATCAAAACAGGATAAGGTCAGAAAGTCTTTGCACGTTTTGCAGCCAGCAGCCACTGACAAAGAAAACTTAGTTGGTGGAGGGAGGATGCTGAGATCTGCCAAAGAAACAGTTAAGAAGTAAGTAAGTCTTATAATCACACATTTGTTTCATACTCTAGTTGAATTTTGTTTTTTAGAGAGATAATTGAAAAACCTAAAAATGATGAGAAAGCAAAACGTAAGAAAGTTGTTTTAAAAGATAAAGCAGTTCAAACTTCAAGAGGAGGCAAGATAAAGATTGAAGTTGAAGACTTAACATCCGAAGGTATGTTTTTGTTAAAAATAAAAAAATTTTAAAAATGAAAATCTTATATAAAAAAAAATGACAATCTTATATAATTATTGATTTTGGAAATTATACTATATAATTATTGATATTTGTGTTTCATACTTACAACAGCTGGACCCAGTGAAAATTATTGGGAAGTTTTGGCTGAAAGGCGGCGGATAGCACTTCAGGATGCATTAGAAGATAATAAAGAATTGACCGAGCGCGTAGAAAAGTTAGAAGAAGAAAATCGTATATATAAAGAAATGTTAGATGAATCAAGATCACTAGTCGAAATTTTACAGGTATTTACAAGTCATCTATTTTTTGAAAATTTTAAGTGAAATTAAATGTAATGTTTTTTTGCAGGAAATGCTTGGAGAAGATACGAATGGTATAAATAATTCTCTAGAAGATACCCTTTAATTTAACGTTTTGCGATCCAGCATCAACTTATGTCTTATGATTCGAATACAGTGTCTTGAATTTGGACACAACATATGCGCTCATCAATAATGAATATTGATAATGAATATTGTAAGAAAAGGTTTGACTGAAGTTTTGATAAGCACAAAATGGAAGAGTTTCTTTATATTTTTAATCCATTTCAATGCGGTTACTTGCATTTATATTAATTCGTCATTTATTGAACCAGCTAAAACTATGGCTGCGACTACAGATGTATTTACCTCATAGAAACTTAATATAACATAAGTACTATATATCTTTGATTATAATTAATAAATCGATTTTCTAATATCCGTTGAACTTCTCTTCCTATTAGTCGTTAGCAAAAAATAACGATATTAATCGAGCAAATTGTTAGCATCACATGTTTATTTTACAAATCTTTGGCGTAGAAGACCTTGAATTCCATCGATATAAATCAATGCTAATAACACATCAGTTTTCTTTTTTTTTTTTTAGTAATGATTGATGAGTGTTTTATTTACACATCAATCGCGGCACAACATGGAAGCCATTTTTTTATTTGCTACATCGTTTTCTGGTGAAAATAATTACATATATTCACTGAAAGGCTGCCAGGAAAGTCGTGCGTTAAAATGTTACTAAACGCGTTATTGAATACCAGATGTGCAAAAGCGAACATTTTCTATTTCTTCATTGTTCTCTGACCGAGAATTTCGCCTCGAGATTGTTGTTTTTTTTTCACATCTTTTTCTCATCGAGAAAACTTGATGACCTATTCGAACGAGCAACAGACCGACTTGCGATCCACAAATCGTATGAGGCGGTTAAACATCGGGTTTGTACTGCGGAACGCCGTTAAGAAGCGTTGAATCCAGTTTTTAATCTTCGTCTTTGAAGCGGCGATAGATGGATTGTACATAAGTGAAGACGCACTTCCAATCTGGTCGGCGCATCATCACCATATCCTCGACATCAAGTAACGGTGCGATTCCGGCGAGTTCACTGCAAATTACCATTTGCTCTTCAACATTTTGTAATTTCTAAAGGATTTGTCAGGAAGATTATAAAGATTATCACAAGGAAGTTTAAGAGGTATCAAGGTACAATAAAATTCTACTTATTTAAAAATTATTTCTATTACTGCAAATTACCATTTGCTCTTCAACATTTTGTAATTGCTAAAGGATTTGTCAGGAAGATTATAAAGATTATTACAAGGAAGTTTAAGAGGTATCAAGGTAAAATAAAATTCTACTTATTTAAAAATTATTTCTAGAAGGAGACATCAAAGCTACATAAAATTACAGTAATTTGAATATGAAAGCCATACAAAAGAAAAGTGGCTGTGGGATGATGCAATTAAAAGCAATTTGGAAAATGATAATGGAAGCTTACTCGGCTTTTTTAAACGCCAACTCGAAGTTCATTTTGCGGTTCTCCGGCCGTAGCGAATAATAATCGAAAGCGTCCGGTCTGAAGTGATGGAGCAAAGCGCAGAACGCCAGACCATTGTTCCAGCTTGTCGAGAAATTATCCAGTTGCACGTTCTGCAACAGAAAACGCAGCCGTGCAACAACCAATGGCTAATTTTGCGAATAGCGTAATTTTCGGCTGGCTATTGACGCGCAATTATCCACGCTCGCGCGCTTTCTGTAAATAACATGTGGTACACGCCACGTGTAAAGGTTCCATTTACAAGGCGAATTTACCTCGTACTCTTTGGTCTTGGAACGGCACCACGCCAGTAGCCGCTCTTTTATTTGCACCGCGTTGTCCCGCACCGCTGGCTCGGTAAACTTGAATCGAAACTCTGTTGCCGGTGACTTTACGGGACTAAATATAGAAGGAAAAGCCATCAGTTAAGTTTTCGAAGAAATGGAAAGTGCATATAAATATAAGATGCGTTATAAGATGGATTGAGTCAATTAGATGATGTCGCATCTGAACGATCGCTTCTGACTTAACTTTCAACATTAATTTTATTCAATGGCAGTAGACTGCGAATTTTCGTGCGAATTTATATTGTTATGAATACAACTAGAGAAATGGGATTTGAATAGAAATTTTGCTTGTGGAATATTGTAACTTCGGATGTCGTGTACATGCATTCCTTGCAATATATCTTATGGTGCTAAATATTATAGAAGTTATGTATTTTATTAATTAAACACGACTCAAGTAACTAAATTGGTCAACAAATTTCTCTCACCAGGAGAATATATTGCAAGTTATAAATAATGTTTGTTTAAGCAACCGTAATTATACTTTAATACTAAACGCAAATATCATTACAAAGAATAGAACTTTGATGTATTGTCATGTTGCAGGCCAAAGATTAGACAGATTCTCTTCGGTGTCGAATAAAAGAAGCAATTGTCTAATAATATCTTTCACCGGTAGTAAAAGCGAAAATACCAATTAACACAAATAAACAACGTTCCTGAACGGTTTTCAATTACCTGGGTGACGAGGCGGCGCTATTTTGTCTGTCGAGTTCACGAAACTTGGCAAACGGTGATAGCGGCTTCTTGCGAGCTGAAAAATCAATAGAATGGTCTAAACTAAGTTTACATTGCCATCAATTATATATATATATAAAACAATCATAAACGTCAGGGTTCGTTGAAATGCATTCGGTCATCTCACCGTATGTTAATTTGTCTATCATCTAATGAAAAAAAAAAAAAAAAAAAAA